ACCCAATTTCAAATTTCCAAATTCCCTTTAAAAAATAAAAAAAAAATATCCTCAAAAGTTGGGCTCAGATGATTCAGAATCATCTGAAACGTGCAGATTCACTATCCCCTAAAGTGGACAATTCTTCCTAGAAAGAAAAATATTTCAAAAAATGCAAGTTTAGAATCGAAGTTTCTAGAATCTAGTAAAAAGAGACATGGAATTTATCGGAAGAATTTCAGATTCAAGAAAAAAATGGATGGGAATAAGAATAATACGGATTATTTTTAGAATTTTTTCTATAAAAATAATTCGATATGATGGTTGAGTTTATTATTCTTCGAAGGATAAATTCAACCATGATGAATTGATCCATTTCATGATTTTTGCTTCCGAATGGAAGCTATGTAATTGTAATTTTTTTCATTTCCTAATTTTGGGTGGAAATGCCTAGAAATGTCATGAAACGTGAAGAAATGATGTTTTTAAAAAATGTCTGTATGTATGTATGTATGTATGTCTGTGGTCATGTGTGTGCGTATGTCCCCAATTTCCCCCATAACTCGAGAACGGTTGGCGTAACTAACTTGAAATTTTGGTTGCTATCTGGTACTATTGATACTCAAAACTGGGCTAAATTTCAGCTCGATCGGTTGAGCGGTTCCTGAGATACAACAATTCCTCAAAAATCGTTTTTTGCCGATATCTCCTGAACTAGTCGACCGATTCGATTTTTTTTTCAAAATACTCGTCGTGATGATACCTATCTAAATGGATCGAAAAAAGACCATTACACTCCAAGCAATGTAGTTTTATTCTCGTTTTTTCATTTTTTCGCTGAAATTGCTTGTAAACATGCTAACTTAGAAAATAATCGAAATAGAAACTTCAAACTTGGTAGGATTTCAGGTCTTGTGATAACAAAGTTTGATATTTTGGATGAGCAAAATCGGATCGGTAGTTTCGGAGATATTCAACTTTTTATGTGCAACTGTTTTGCTCAATATCTCAAAAACTATACAACTGATTTCAATTTTTTTTTTTCAAAATGTTCGTCTTGATGTCATCTATCTGCATCAATCAAAATATGTATACCCCTCTATAGAAAGTTTTCAAGATATTGCCGTTTTTGTATGTTTTTGTATTTTTTTGGTCAGAATTCACTCTTGAACACTATAACATGGATTAAAATCAGGGAAACCTTTTGAAACATCGACTACTAGTTAGGATTGTTAAATAACATTCCTATATCCAATTTTAGGTCAATATATTCAATAGTTACTGAGATAGAACAATTTATCAAAGATTCTTAAGAAGAAACGGATCAACGCATCTATATTTAGCTGTTCATTTTCACTCTAGGCTGACTTAGAAAGATCATATCACATAAAAAAAAAAAATTTCAGAAGAATGAACGTTTAAAAGAGAGTATTATTATATAATAATAGAGTAAGAAATTATAGTCTCATTATGTAATTTTAAGGAATAATTACTGAATTATATGAAGAATCGTAAGAACGAAACAAAAAAAAAGTCATGGTTGAAAATTGAAGAAAAAAAATTTACACAAAAAGTAACAGTCATGAGTGATCTGTCAAATAGCTTCCGTCATACTGCTTGTTTTTTCTCTGTGCACCACCATTCCTCCAACATCAGCTGCCATTCTATCACGCGGGGTTATGCTTAGAGAGAAAAGGGAATGCGAGCAATACAAATTCAACACATATAAATTGATTAGTTATCGATAAAAAAAAAAGAGCAATGGAATATTTTTACTGAATGAGTTTTCATTAAAAATGAAAATTTCATTGAATTCAGGCGCAACGATCGAGGTATCTTATTTGAAACCCGCTGATCCGTATCTTTCTCCCCTCTATGGGCGCGCGTAGTGAGGGCATCGAGGGGCTATTCACAGGCGAATTGGGTGACACCGCGATTACAAAATGTAATCGATCACCCAGGATTACGGGACTGATTACACTAATTACCATTACCTATGTGATAACCTTGATTACCAAGAGCACAAAATGTGATTACACAATTACAAATGATTTCATCGATTACAGTCTGTGATTACCAAACATCTGTAATCATTGAAATCACAAAAAATGGCCTCTTATTAAATATGAATTGATGGAATAATTAATTATTAGGACCTGCAAAGAAATGAGGAAGGAGGGGCGGGGATTAGAACAGAGGAATGCAGTCCCAATCACTCCATCTAAAAATTTGGGCATTTATAAGTGCTATCAACAAAATAAATTTACTGAATATCTACCATTGATGGGAAATGAAATTTATCAGCAGATAATTCAGAGATAATTCAGTCGTTGGTTCTCCAGAATAATAAGAAATTTCAACTCTGTTGAATCAATTTTCTACGGACGAATTCTCTGTGTAAAACGCATTGGCTATGCAAGGTTCTGAATCATAAACATCTGGGATTCCAAGAAAAATTGGTCCAGGGATCTCTGAGACTTACCGTTGGTAGAAATGACGCGATCGAAAATTCAAAAACAAAATTCACGGCCTCACTAGGAGTAACTACGAAAGATTACACTGATTACAAATGATTACCACTTGATTACCAAAACTTCATTACAAATACGGTAATTATGTGATTACAATAATTACATTGATTTCACTGGGATTACAAGTGATTACATCAGCGAGTGACATCTCGCGATTACGCCTGTGAATTATCCCTCGGGGGGCATAGGGGTTCCCGAAATTCCACTGTCCTATTGTCTCTAAGGTATCTTATACGAAGCCTTTCCTGTATGTGCAAAATAACCATTGGGAAGCATATTGCTAATTTATTACCAAAAATAACTATATTCAATACAACAGCAATTTTCCACATGTTTTATTAAAAAAAAGAACCGGTAATTTTTTTCGTGCGTGTGGACAAGGTCTCTTACCTGCTCTCTCAATAGTCATCGAGAAATCCCGAGCGTCGTTGTAGTCCTCATGTTCTGAGGGAACGGAGGGTTTGCATAGTTGAATTTTCGCCGGATCGGTTTCGTCTGTTCCCTCAAATGTTTTAGTCTTCTTCTCCATCACATTCGTAACAACCTGGTGGTAAGTTGAAGGGACAGTCGTTTTTCCGATTTCGGAGAGGAAGTCTTTGCTGTCGATCGAGGGAGGAGTAACTGAGGGCGTCGTATGCCAGGGTGATTCAGTGGTTGAAGTCGATGCACTTGTCGACGAAGGCATTTCTTCTGACACTTCCTTCTTCGACTTCACCGCAGTTATCAGCATGTCTTCAGCATTTAAGAATGTTGTGACGTCCCAGGGAATTGATGTCGTTGTGTAATCCGTTGTTAATGAAGTTCCTGAGGTGTCCGGTATTCTTTCACTTGTCGATGCGAGGGACGTTTCATCACCGATTGTTCCTTCTGGTTCTGGAGTGGAGATGAATTCTTTTGTTTCATTGACAGCGATCAGTTCTTCGGTTGTGGATTCTATCGCGTTCTCCCATTTCTGAGCCGTTGGTAATCCAGAGGAAATTGAAATAATCAGGGTTAGTTGGAGAAGGAAGAGTCGGAGGCCGGATGACATGATTGTTGTGTCAGTAAATCCTATTGAAGAGAAAAAAAAGGAATTAAAATGGGGAACTAAATCAATAGCCAAGTGGTGATAGGAGAATTGCACTGGAGAGCAGTTCTGCAGAGCGAAAGAAGAGGTCTGAATGTAGAGATATCTTTGAAAAATTAATCGTACAATTATTCGTAAAGTGGATTTCACAAAGCTTCTCTTGTAGAGCGGAGTTGAATCAGCATGGGACGCTGCTAATTTTTTTTATTGTTATGCTGCTAGTCGGAAAATAATTCAAATTTCATGGACAATGGGGCAGTAATTTTCATAAGAATGATATTGAATTTGATTTTTAAAAAAGATGATTATGAAATTTCAAGTTTTTGGTAACGTTCAAGGAATCTATAAGTTTTTATAGGAACTAAGATGGAAGTTTTACCATTTGCTTCCATTTTCCATTGAACACGAACATCTAAAACTACAATGGCCGAAATTTTAAATTTTGGTCTGCATTTGCCTCTTTTTTGCGAATTTTTTCAGTATAATTAAGCTGCATTAAATTCATATTTCCCATAGAGAATTAAGAAAAAAACAGGTTTAACCGTGTAGCGAAAATTGTGTACACTGATAGAATGATTCATTTATTTCAAACGAGATTCGTTAACTATTAACGAATGGTAGAGTTGAATATGACCAAATGAATATTTGTTAATAGTTAACGAATGGTTCACTTGAATGGCGAAAGTCAAGTCAAACAAGGCTCCTCAAATATACATTCGTTAACTATTAACGAATGAACATTTGGTGGGATCGAATAGACCCTAACCTCCAACCAAAATCCATTCGATAACAATAACTAATCCATTCTATCAGTGTAATCTTCTTTTCTTTTTCTTCTGTCAATTTTGGGATTATCAGCAAAAAAGTATTGTTGAAATGAACTTGAGTCGTTACATTTTAGAGTTCTACGGCTGCTTATTCTCCAGCTATCTAACATTGAGAAAGCAATATAATTTTGCCAATTAAATTTATTTCAGGCAAGAAGTTATAATGCAATTTTGTAGGGAAATTACGCGCATTCGTTTGAAACAAATTTTATTGGCAGAATTATATTGTTTTTCTCAGTGTAGCAACCAAAAACTTTGGGAGAAATTCCCACATTTTTAAAAATTTGATGTTGAAATTTGAGGGAAAAAGTCTTTAGATTCACAACAAGGACTAATTTACCTGAAATGTATACATATATGTTATTTTAGGAAATTTTCAAAATAACAAAATAACTATTCAAAATAACATTCAGTGTTACGTTGAATTATCACAATGAGTGCGAAAATTAAAAGTTTCGTTGAAACATCAATCGTCGCTGAACATGAAAAAACACTTTTTTTTTAATTTCCAAGATACATGAGGGAGTTCATGAACTATTTGATCTTATATTGAATTCAATTTTACACCATTGAAAATTCTCATACAACTGTTACATGAATTTCAGAAAAATTCTAAATTAGAAATAGAACAAATCGTGTGAAATTGTATAAAAATAACTTTTATCTCGATGAATAATACAAAATTCATGAGTGATGGACCATTGAAAACACTTGCATTACGACATCACGTCAGAACGCCCATATAAAAAGTTCACTGACGTCATAATAGCAGACATCTCCCCAAATAGTTGCTTGATTGTTCATGACTTTTTGAAACAAAAGAAATACATATCTAATATTTTCCATTCAAATTTTATATTTCATAATTCTGTTTAATAAAAAAAATCATTCTACAACCTAATTGAGAGATAAATCGACGAGCTACTCACTCCTGAAATCACGGCGCCACTCTGGCATGAAATCATTCTGAAATCACGTGAAATCACAAAATTCACTGAAATCAAGTGATTTCAGCTTTCCGAAATCGTTTCTGAAATTATTTCCGAAAATACGCGAAATATCCTGAAATCAATTAAATCACCGAAATCAGTGGCGCACTAGCGTAGTGGGAACCGTGCAAGTAATTCGTGATTTTGAATTTGACACGCCTGCCAACGGTGATAATAAAATGCCGTACTCACGGCCATGCTGGTTTTCCCAGACAAATGTCGTATGAGTTTATTATCGGATGGATCCAGAAAGTCCATTCGTTATAGTTTAAGATACTTCAGGCCAAGAATCAATAGTTCGCAAGTCCTCAATATGTTGGTTATTTAATAAAGACCATTCAAAACTCAGCAGTGATAGACTTCAGCGAGTTAGGGACGAATAAATAACGAGAAGTACTAATCATCGACGTAAGAACCCTTTGCAAAACGAAAAAAAGGATTTTGTGAAAGAATTCAAGGAAATCCATAGGGGTGATTGGTGTTTATTTCAGGAGGAAAAATATCCTACTTCTTGTTCATTGAGATGAATTTCGCTGAATTTCGCTTTTTCAGAGGGGAAAACTCTGCGAAGCAGGGAGTTTTCGAGCGAATATGCTCGTGTCAGTACTAATAGCAAAAATATAGGTATTCTTTACCATTGGTATGTTTTGGATAAAAGTCTGAAGAGTTTAAAGTCGGAGCCAATGAGTTCTCACGGCTACATTAATATAAGCCAATATCGAAGAACGATTTCTCCTCCTCTGATCACTGAGAGTGGAGATTTGAAGCTCCCTGAGAGAATTTTTGATGAAGTTAAAAAATATTTCTAAATGAATGAGTTAATGTTATAATAATCAGTGTATAAAATCATTTATGTAACTTTTGTTTTCTAATATAAAGTTCTGAAATTGATTGGAATTTGTGAATTATTAGTGGAGAGGCTGGGGTAAAATGGACGGCTTTTCATCGTCATTAGCTCAAGATCGGTGGAGTGAAATCAAACGAATTAATTATTATTTGCCAGTTATTATTGCCAGTTTTGATTTTCATAATCTGACATGATCCGTTTTGCCCCACCTCTATTATTTATTAACTTTATTCGTCGTGGTTTCAATGACTTCATCTTTTCTGAAATCACTGATTTCGAATTAATGAAATTATTCGAAATCACGAAATCACCGAAATCTTTTTTTTTTCAAAATCCCGGTATCACTCAATTATGGAGTGAGTAGCTCTCGAGAGAAATCATTTAAAAGAAAAACTCTTATTTCTTGAAGAATAATAATAAAATTTTTTTTACATTCCAAAGCAGGGAACCGTTCCAAAGCTGGTGTACCCACAGTATCGCGGGTACAAAGACTCCAAATAAAAAACTGAACCGTGCGTGGAGGGATCTCGCTCTTTCACTCCATTGCTAGCTTTTGAAAATCTCATTTGCACTTGAAACTAGTTTCCATCGATAAAAAATAACTCCTTAACCACGAGATAATGCGAGATTGACGCAACAATTAATTCGTCATTTCCTCGAGACAACACCGGTTCATCATGTCAATGTCACTGATTTCAATCTAATCAAATGTCACTTCTTCTTAAAATAGTCATGTTCACAATTTTTATTTTCCTCGATCTACGCAATTGCGATGTTGCCCGGTAACTCGAGTATAATAACGCACTCTGTCGAGTGCACAATCTGGCGATTAAAAATTACCGCAGATGTGTGGGCCGTACCGGGAAACCAGCTCTTGCACTATCAGCAACCGAAGGCACTTCCGGTACCGCTTGAATTTTTCGAGGAAGTCGAAGACACTTTTATTCAACAATTATGAATCTTCGTTTTTCAAACTACTTTATTAAACTGAAGATTAATCGCAGTATGAATTGCACTGTTGTGAGTCAGAGGAGATAATGTTATTAATCACGTAAATAATGATAGCATAAAGTGTGGAATTTTTTCAAGTCTTCCAATATTCGTTGATAATAACATTTTAATTGTCATTTTGAGTTAATTGGAGGGAATTTTACGTGACTATCAATTATTTTTCCACTATGATCAATAATTGGCGGAGCTCGTTTCAATTAATTCAATTAATTCAGATCTTAAATGATGAAATAAGGATTAATGTTTTTAATTAGATTTTTCTTCGCGGAATGGTTCAATATTTTAAATCCACAGGGATTTGCGGTTCGGGGGATGATTATTAATGGAAATCTAATGAAGCAATGAAACGTGTCCCGATAAGACTAGAGTCCACCGTCCACTGCTTGAGTTTTCCAGCGAGTGTTTCTCTCCCTCTCCCCCCCCCCCCC